CGTAGCAGAATATGCTACCTCAAAATATGCCTCTTTGACATAAAAATTTTGAAATGAAGGCAATTATGAAGCAGTAAATATAGGAAAAACTCTCTATTTTCTATTGAATTATATTAGTGAATTAATTGACTTTATGAGTAGGTCTACTCTATTGATTTTCCAAAACCATATTCTTTTCATTATTGTTATTTACTAATTTTAAAAACCAGAAGCCTTTTCTCAATACTTATTCCTACTCATCTTTTGTGCACTACTTGAATTTGCCAAACACATTTTTCATGGGGAAAAACATAGGCATTGGAGTCAGGCAGATTTGTCTTTAGAATATAGCTCTATCACCACTTGATGGTGATGTGGGATCGAGGAAAAGTGTAAGAAAAAATATGCCGAACTTGGAAATAACACCAAAGGGTAGCTGTATGTCATTATGGAACACGGCTTAATAGATCTACCCAATGCTTATTTAATTCACTAGCAGGCTTACATTTGTTTGATTTGTTATTGATTAGGGCTAAGACTGTATACAATATTAACTTGTAGATTTTGGCCGTATAGATGCAATGTCTGGTGGAGAATTTAACTCCAAAGGCTATAGTTTATTTTGACCTATAGGACATTCACCTATAGGACATTGTAACTTAGAAAATTTACTTTAGCTTGCCTTTTGTGACTGGCTATGGATTCTCAGTTTCTCTAATTTTTCTGTGAACCAGCTTTATCATCTTGCTGGTTTCCTCACTAAAGAGTTATATAGATCTTGGAAACACATTTATTCTATATTTTTTATAATAGTCACATCTTTAAATTTGAAAACTATACTTTGACAGTAGTGAGGAGTTAAATGTTATTTCAAGAAGTTATATAATTGGTGATGCCATTATCTAAGATATCTCTCTGCATAAGGAGTCTTTCAGAAGAAGATAATAATTTTATTTTGGTATATTAGTTTCTATTAAGATGGAAATCTAGGTTTGAACACTGAAAGTAGAGGAGAAAAATTTAGACGTTTGAAGATGAAAAGGCCTAGGGATAGTATGAAAATATTAAGGACATAATTAAAAGCAAACAAACAAACAAACAAATAAATAAACAAACACACATTTAGGGAGTGGATGAAGAAAAGCCAGCATAGGAAACTAGGAAGGAGTAGTAAAAAGCAGCCATGAGCAGTTTTAAGAAATGAATAGTCAACATGCAGATGTGACCCAGGAGACAACTAGGATGGTAATTGCCAAGATACAATTGAACTTAGCAATTAAGAAGTCTTTGGTGACTTAATAAAAGCACTTCCAGTAGAGGGGTAAGGATGTAAGTCAGATTTGCTGTGGGTTGGGAGAAAATAAGATATTTGGAAAGGGATGCTGTAAATATAGATTGTTTCAGGAAGTTTGGCTCTAAAACCTAAATCAGATCATAATAATTCACAGCTTAAAACCTGCTGATGGATTTCCATTACACTTGAAATAAAATTCATCCCTTCATCATGGTCTATTAGGCTTTATATGATTAGGACTCTGCTTATCAATCTGACTTCTTGTACCACTTTGCCATTCTTTATATGCTTCAAATGATTGGATTCTTTTCTTTCCTCAAATATACCAACTTTGTTACTATCTGAGGGCCTTTGCCAATTCCTCCTTTTTATTTTTAATCCTCAGCTGAGGACATGGTTAGAGAGTGGAGGGGAGAGAGAGAGAGAGAGAGAGAGAGAGAGAGAGAGAGAGAGAAAGAGAGAGAGAGAGAGAGAGAGAGAGAGAGAGAGAGAGAGAATGAAAATATCACTGATGTGAGAAAGAAGACATGGATGGGCTGCCTCCTAAATGCACCCCAACTGGGTCCTGGGATGGAATCTGAAAGCTTTAGGTGTATAGGACGATGCTCCTACCAACTGAGCCACACTGGCAAGGGCACCACTTTCTCTTTTTGATATGCTCTCCATTCAGACCTTTGCAAGGCTTGCACAACAGTGATGAGGGCATACTGGTCAGATACCCTTTGAGTCACAGTGGTTCTCAACCTTCTGGTCCTTTAAATACAGTTCCTCATGTTGTGACCCAACCATAAAATTATTTTCGTTGCTACTTCATAACTGTAAATTTGCTACTGTTATGAATCATAATGTAAATATCTGTCATGCAGGATGGTCTTAGGCGACCCCAGTGAAAGGGTCATTCGACCGCCAAAGGGGTCGAGACCCACAGGTTGAGAACTGCTGCTTTAAGAGAAACAACTGTGAGGAGCATAGCTAACACCTTCCAGCTGCCACACCTTCAAACCCGCTCATGCTAAGGTCACACTTACCTTGGGTTGCACCCAGCCAATGACCAAGTACAGTTTAGATGCTAGAGCTTGGCTATTCCTGCCCAGGATAGGACTCCTCTACAGGGCAATTTTTATTCTGGGGATCCTCCTTGGTCTAAGATTTTCTCACAATTGCATTCCACTCTGAGCTTTTCCTACCCAGTCCTCTTTTCTTCCTGCTCTCCCTTCCCAGGTATCAGAACTGGATTGCAGTGTGAATACTCTCCTGCCTTCTGTTTGCCCAAGGTCTCAGGCCTGGGATGTACTTCTTTGCCCAGCCTGAAGGTCTGGGACCCGGATGTAGGTCAGAGCCCCGGTTGGAGGTATGGACCCGGGATAGAGGTCTGGGTACCTGATACAGGACTGGATTCTGGCTTCGAGGTCTGAGCTGCGGGAATGACTTCTGGTGACTTGCTGAAAGTCTGGGACTTTGAAGTTTGTCAGAGACCCGGATGGAGGTCCTGGCCACTGATACAGTCCTGGATTTTGGGTTCGAGGTCTGTGCCCCAAGGATGGACTTCTGGCACAAGGCTGAAGGTCTGGGACCCGGATGTAGGTCTGAACACCTGATGGGGGAATGGGCCCCGGTTGGAGGTCTGGGCACCTGATAAAGGACTGAATTATGGGTTCACGGTCTGGACCCCGGAATGGATATCTGGTCCTTGGCATGAATGTCTGGGACACGGATGTTGGTCAGAACCCCGGATGGATGTCTGGGCCCCTGATACAGGACTGGATTCTGGGTTCCATGTCTGAGCCTCGGGATGTACTTCTTGGCGCGGTCTGAATGTCTGGGACCCAGATGTAGGCCTGAGCATCTGATGGAGGTGTGGGTCCCAGACAGAGGTCTGGGCACCCGTTAAAGGACTGGATTCTGGCTTCGAGGTGTGAGCTGCGGGATGGACTTCTGGCGCCTTGCTGAAAGTCTGGGACTCTGTAGTTGGTCAGAACCCGATGGAGGTCCGGGCTCCTGACACAGTACTGGATTCTGGGTTCCATGTCTGAGCCTCGGGATGTACTTCTTGGCCCGGTCTGAATGTCTGGTACCCGGATGTAGGCCTGAGGAGCACCTGATACAGGACTGGATTCTGGGTTTGAGGATAGGGCACCCATATCGAGTTTTGGGCACTGGCTGAAGGTCTAGGTCCTGGATGGAGTTCTGGGCCCTGGGATGGAGGTCTGGGCCGGCGATGGAAGGCTGTGTTTCGGAGGGAGGGCTGAGTCTCGGGATGGACATCTGGACCCTGGGTGGAGTCTGGGTCATAGACTGAACATCAGGGTCATAGGCTGGACCTCCTGGTCATGGAATGGAAGTCTGGGTCATGGATGGAGGGCTGGCCCATGATACAGAAGTGGATTCTATGTTCGATATTTCGGCCCTGGAGTGGAAATCTGGGCCTTTGGCATTAATGTCTGGCACCAGGATGTAGGTCAGAGCACCTGATGGAGGAATGGGTCCCGGATGGAAGTTTAGGCACCCGGTATAGGACTGGATTATGGGTTTGAAATCTGGGATCCAGAATGCACATCTGGGCCTTGGCATGAATGTCTGGGACCCGGATGTTGTTCAGAATCCCGGATGGGTCTGGGCCCCTGATATAGGACTGGTTTGTGGGTTAGAGGCCTGGGCCCCCTGAATGGACATCTGGGTTTTGGCATGAATGTCTGGGACCCGGATGTAGGTCAGAGCCCTGGATGGAAGTCTGGGCACCAGATACAGGATTGTATTCTGGGTTCGAGGATAGGGTCCCTGGATTGAGTTCTGGGCCCTGGCATGAAGGTCTAGGCCCCTAATGGAGGTCTGGGTCCTGGCATGCATGTCTGTGCCTTGAATGGAAGGTTGTGTCTCAGAGAGAGGGCTCGGTTGTGGATTGGACATCTGGGCCCCAGGTGGAGGTCTGGTTCGTATGCTGGGCCTATGAGTCATTGAATGGAGGTCTGGGCCATGGATGGAGGTCTGGGCTCCCAATAGAGGACTGGATTCTGGGTTTGAGGCTTGGGCTCTGGAATGGATATCTGGGCCCTGTCATGAAATTCTGGGACCCGGATGTTGGTCTGGGTCCTGGGATGGAGGTCTGGACTTCACAGGGATTTCTGGGCCTTGGAAGCAGGTCAGGGACCTCAGTAGATGATTGGATTCTGGGTTTGAGGTCTGGGCCCAGGAATGGACATGGGAGCCTTGTGGTGTTTTTGTTTGTTTTGTTTTTAAGTGGTTTCTTTATCTCCTAAGTCATAGGCATCTATCTGGCTGTACCATCTTTTAAGTCGTTTTTAATCTAGTCTAGTCTCTTTATTCATGCACTGACTTATTGTAGAGAATGGACAATTATCTCCTTTGGAATGTGTTACTTTCTGGATTTGTGTGATTGTTTCTTGTGGTGTTTTTTTTTTTTTTTTTTTTTAAGTGTTTTCTTTATCTCCTACATTTCCTATAAAAGAAATTAGGTATTATTGTTTAATTAAGTTCACATTACACCTTCTTGGTTAAATGATGTAGGTTGTGTACTTCATACTGAATTACATCAGCAGACAGATAATCTCTGGTAATTCCCTAACTAGCAATGCTAATTTATACCATCAGATTATACTGGTAAAGTTACATTTTCTCTCTTGGGACCCGAAAGTCATTTGTGTGGTGGTGTTGTTCGGAAGTATGTGAAGAGACAGTTATCCATCACAAATAGAAGATCCGCTCATCATTTAACATAGTTATCTCCAATCCCATGCTTTTAATTTGTGTGCTTGTTTACTTCGCTTAATGTAGTCTTTGCCATACAGAAATGTCTCATTTTCATACGGTAAAATCTGTCCATCTTTACCTCTGCTTTTAAGGACGCCAGTCCTGTTGGGTTAGGGCTCCAGCCTTACTGTCTAGTAGGCGAGATAAACAAGTAGACACATTAAATACCAAAGGAGCTCCACAAAACTTGGCTGGGTAGTGGAGGCCTGGAAGACGGATGGAGGGCGAGGCCCCGGTACATCATGCGGACAAGCAGCTGACAGCACTGGAACACAGAGGACCAGAGCGAACAAATCCCTTCCGAGGAGGAGAGGCGAGAAGGACGGGCTGGGTCCAGCTTCACTAATGGGCTAATTATGCAACCGGTGATTATCCAAATACCTACAACCCCCGGCACCTGCCTCAGTCACTGGGCTGGTCTGGCAGGTGGAAGTAAATTCCGCAGGCTCTTTCCTTAGCGGCCCTCCCCTGCCATCCGGAGGTCGGCCTCCCTCCCTCCCCTTCGCCCTGAGCCTGGGCCCGGCCTCCCCACACTTGCCCACAGGCCCGAGCTTCCTCCCGCGAGGCGAGGTCCGCCCCCCGCCCCATCGCCACGCGAGGACGCAGATTCCTGCTCCGCAAAGGATTCGGGGAAACACTGCGGGCCAATGTACCGGCAGAGAGGTTCCTTTGATTGACGCGAAGTACGCCCAATGAGAGAAGAAGCCTGGAGACGCTTCCGCCACAGCGGCGGGGCAGTCGCGATGTCAACCAATCTCAGCCCAGAAGTGGCCGTCTCGAGGGCGGTCCCCGAGGCCGCTGAGATTGTGGGTGTCTGTTGAGCGGCTGGCGGGAGTCGTGCTACCTTGAGTAGGGGTTAAAGTCGTTCTTGAGAGGGACGTCTGTGTCCGGAGAGAAAATGAGTTTAGCTCTGAGGTCGGTAACGAGGCGGCGGCGATGCTCTCCACACCCCGGCAGCGGGCCCCAGGGCGGGTGTGGAGGGGAGGCCGTTGGGGGCCCAGGCGAGGAAGGGATGCATTTGGGTCGAGGAAAAGGAACCTCGGCCCCTCCTCCGGGCCGGACCCCTCACCCCGGGGGCTCCCGGGGGCCGCAGGTGCCGCGTCCCGTGCATTTCTGCGGAGGTAGTCACACCTGTCCACGCGTGGGGCTTGGAGCCGCCGAAAGGATGGGCTGTATTCTTTGCACGGAGGCGGTGAAGTCGCGCGAGGTTTCTCCCGCGTTGTTTCCGCGGGAAATCAGGCCGTGGAGCATCCCTGGATTCAGTTCCTCCTTCCCGGTTTCCGGCCCCGACCGCCGCCGCGCTGCTCATGACGTAGCTACTGTAAATTTTGGAAATAACACGAAACTCCCCCTTGCCGCTCACCCGGGGTCCTGCCGGACCGTGTGCCTGGAGACCCGCATCACCTAAATTTCTTAGTTTCTTGACCCCACATTGAGTTGGCCCTCTAATCCTCGGGTGCCCTGTCCCCCAACCTCATCTGGATGTTACTTTAAAAATAACGATGTAGTCACCCCACTTTGGGAGAGGTGCTGCCCTGTCCCCCAGCCTCATCTAGATATGTTACTTTAAAAATAACGATGTAGTCACCCCACTTTGGAAGAGGTGCTGTGTTGTGCTCACGGGTAACGTGGTGCCTTGGATGGGGTCCGTTGGGTCGGTTTTGGACCGGGCCGTTGGGAGCCGTGGGAAGGGAAGGACTGACGGCGGGACGGACAGGCTTGGGCGCAGCCTCTGGTGAACGCACGATGGCAGCTTCACCCGGTCCCCTAGCTTTTTTTACCGCCTGCCGCCCCCCCCCCCCCGTCTTTTTTGGGGGTAGATTTTTAGAGGACAAAACTTCAAATGCAAATAGGTAGCCTGTTGTAGTAAAATCAACTGGGTTTTACATTTTAAGGTTTTATACAATTTTCTGTTCCAACATTTATACGAGTGTTGAAGTCCCATTTGGGTCAACATCTCTTAAGGAAGACATTTCTAGCCTTTAAAATAAATTTCCTTAAACATTTTTTCCCCCCAGAGTTTGTGAGAAATTAAATGTAAATTTAAATGTTGAGATTTATAAGACCATTGACTTAACATTATATAGAATTGGCGCAAATAGATACTTTTTAGGCGTTTGATAATCGTGATCTGTTTGGACTCAGTATTTCGGCTGATTTGTTAATACCGACCAAAGAAATTATGAAGTGCCACCCTGTTGGAAATATGTAATCTGAAAACATTTCTAATCTACAATGCCATCGTACTTTGTAAGTTAATTGAAAAATTATGTCTTTTTGGTAGTAATTTTGATATCTTATTTATAAAACACTGTCAAAAGTAAATCATACATAGTGAGAGTCAATTACAAATTTAATTTTCTTTTAAAAAATGTTTTGTAGATTGATGTGAATAATAAGTATGTATGCTTTGTTTTTTGTTGGGGTTTCTGATATGAAGCAATGTTTTTTATTCACAGTTCTTCTTCCACAGTAATATTAGTGGGAATAAATCAGAGCTAGGTCCTCATTTTTTTTTTTTTTTTAAATAACCTGTAACATTTCTCAGTTTTGGGAAGTGCAAATTTATAGCAGCTTCAACTCTGCAATAAGTAGGGCTTTTACTCATATAAGGAAATTTTTTTTCTCAAAATATATCCTTTTAAGAAATTTAGAAAGTTATTCACTGGCTAAGATTTATGGTTGCATTTTTGAAATCTTATTTTAATCATCTAGACTGTAGAGGCATAGGAGAATAGGAATTAAGTGGACTAAATAGACTGTTTTCATTTTATAGAAGTGAACTTGTAGACAAAACAAAGAGGAAAAAAAGAAGAGAACTCTCTGAAGAACAGAAACAAGAAATTAAAGATGCTTTTGAACTATTTGACACGGACAAAGATGAAGCAATAGATTATCATGAATTAAAGGTAATGATAGACTTTAAAACATAGTATATTTTTTCTGTTAAAATGATTTGCATTTTTGACAGTTGGCTAAAAATACATTTCTAAATAAGTATTTTAACTAAACTAGTTTTAGAAATATGAAACTATTTTAAACACTTCAGTTCAGTGCTACAATAAAATTGAATAGTTCTAACATCTTTTTAGAAACTCCTTTTTCATATAAAATGAATAGTATTTTAAATGTAAAAATACATTCCTATGGAGGGGCTTATTTTTTATTTACATAATTAAAATTTTTTGAACTACAGGATTTAAACAGTTCTTACTATATTTTTTGACCACTCATTCTTTTTTCAATTGGGGGGGTGTTATTTGTCTTTTAATTTGAGTATGTTCATAAACACAGTCTCAACTTAATTTCTCTGGTGCAAACAACATAATTGATGTGTGATATTGACACACTAATGGGGGAAAATGTCAACTTTAAGGCTTGGAATCTATACTAATAATAAAGGAATGTGCAAGTTGTCTGGGATGCTGTCACAGTAACAGTAATGACCAAACAGCAGGCTGCGTGGGGCAACCAAGCCAGCAGGGGCGGGGGGGGGGGGGGCAGTTGGGGGTAACCAGGTGGGGGGGGGGGAAGGAGGCGCACACGACCAGGCCGGCAGGGGTGGCAGTTAGGGGTGATCAGGCAGGTGAGCAGTTAGGAGCCAGCGGTCCCAGATTGTGAGAGGGATGTCCGACTGCCGATTTAGGGCTTAAACCGGCAGTCGGACATCGCCTGAGGGGTCCCCGATTGGAGAGGGTGCAGGCTGGGCTGAGGGAACTCCCCGCCTCATGCACGAATTTTGTGCATCATGCCTCTAGTTATTTATAATGATACAAGGGGAGATTGCTGTTAGGATAGTATGGGTCTGACACTCAACACAATGAGAAAGGTGGCTTTTTTGCAGCTCTTTGGCTCTCTTTTCCACATTTATCTTTTGTTGCTGCTGTTTGTTTTAGTTACCTAGGTTTTATCTGTTTTTCCTTTATAATGTCTCTTTCATTTGTTGCCATTGTTATTATCTTGGTTGGAGAATCTTATTTCATATCTGGAATTTTCTAAGTGGTTTCTTCATTTCTAGTTTACCCTGTACATTCATCTTTCTCAAATCCTTTCCCCATATTGTTCAATACTTATGAACCTTTGGTGGCTCCTTATTATACACTGCATAAACTTCAGATTCCTTTGATTTTTATTAAATGTTCTCCACACTTTTTTTTTAAAAAATATATTTTATTGATTTTTTACAGAGAGGAAGGGAGAGAGACAGAGAGTCAGAAACATCGATGAGAGAGAAACACCGATCAGCTGCCTCCTGCACACCTCCTACCGGGGATTTGCCCGCAACCCAGGTACATGCCCTTGACCGGAATCGAACCTGGGACCTTTCAGTCTGCAGGCCGATGCTCTATCCACTGAGCCAAACCGGTTTAGGCAGTTCTCCACACTTTTACTACCACCTACGTTTCTCATTTGCTAACTCCTTTTTCTACCTGAGCACTTCCCATTCAGATAAGATAAGCTGCTCTGTTCACTGTTCTTAAGGTTATTCAGCTTATTCTTTATTTTGGTGTCTTTTTTTTTAAATTTCTTTATTAGTTAAGGTATTACAAATGTGTCCTCATCCCCCCCATTAACCCCCATTCTCCCCCCCCCTCCCCCACTCATACTCTCATCCCCCTGTTGTCCATGTCCATTGGTTTGGCTTATATGCGTGCATACAAGTCCTTTGGTTGATCTCTTCCCTTTACCCCCTCACTCCCCTACTTTCCTTCTGGGGATTGATAGTCTGATCGCTGTTTCTCTGTCTTTGGATCTGTCCCTGTTCATCAGTCTATGTTGTTCTCTATAATCCACAAATGAGTGAGATCATGTGATATTTATCTTTCTCTGACTGGCTTATTTCACTTAGCATAATGCTTTCCAGTTCCATCCATGCTGTTGGAAAAGGCAAGAGTTCCTTCTTTTTTACCGCAGCGTAGTATTCCATTGTGTAGATGTACCACAGTTTTTTTTAATCCACTCATCTGCTGATGGGCACTTAGGCTGTTTCCAAATCTTAGCTATGGTGAATTGTGCTGCTATGAACATAGGGGTGCATATATCCTTTCTGATTGGTGTTTCTAGTTTCTTGGGATATATTCCTAGAAGTGGGATCACTGGGTCAAATGGGAGTTCCATTTTTAGTTTTTTTTGAGGAAGCTCCATACTGTCTTCCATAGTGGCTGCACCAGTCTGCATTCCCAACCAGCAGTGCAGAAGGGTTCCTTTTTCTCCACATCCTCTCCAACACTTGTTGTTTGTTGATTTGTTGATGATAGCCATTCTGACAGGTGTGAGATGATACCGCATTGTCGTTTTGATTTGCATCTCTCGTATAATTAGTGACTTTGAGCATGTTTTCATATGTCTTTCGGCCTTCTGTATGTCCTCTTTCGAAAAGTGTCCATCTAGGTCCATTGCCCATTTTTTATTGGATTGTTTATCTTCCTATTGTTAAGTTTCATGAGTTCCCTGTAAATGTTGGAGATTAAACCCTTATTGGTGATATCATGGGAGAATATGTTCTCCCATGTAGTGGGTCTTGTTGTTTTGTTGATGGTTTCCTTTGCTGTGCAAAAGCTTTTTATTTTGATGTAGTCCCATTTGTTTATTTTCTCTTTAGTTTCCATTGCCCTAGGAGCATTATCAGAGAAGAAATTCCTTTGGCATATGTTTGCGATTTCACTGCCTGTGGTTTCCTCTAGTATTTTTATGGTTTCCTGTCTTACGTTTAAGTCTTTTATCCATTTTGAGTTTATTTTTGTGTATGGTGTGAGTTGGTGGTCTAGTTTCATCTTTTTGCATGTATCTGTCCAATTTTCCCAACACCATTTATTGAAGAGACCGTCTTGACTCCATTGTATGCTCTTGCCTCCTTTGTCAAATATTAATTGGGCATAGTGGTTTGGGTCGATTTCTGGGTTCTCTATTCTATTCCATTGATCTATATGTCTGTTCTTGTGCCAGTACCAAGCTGTTTTAAGAACAGTGGCTTTGTAATACAGTTTGATATCTGGTATTGAGATCCCACCTACTTTGTTCTTCTTTCTCAGGATTGCTGCAGCTATTTGAGGTCTTTTTTTATTCCAGATGAATTTTTGGAACGTTCGTTCTAGATCTGTGAAATATGCCATTGGTAATTTAATGGGGATTGCATTGAATTTATAGATTGCTTTGGGTAGTATGGACATTTTGATGATGTTGATTCTACCAATCCATGAACACGGTATGTTCTTCCACCTGTTTATGTCTTCCTCTGTCTCTTTTTTCAGTGTCCTGTAGTTTTTCGCATATAAGTCTTTTACCTCCTTAGTTAAGTTTATTCCTAGGTATCTTGATTTTTTTGGTGCGATAGTAAATAGGTTTGCTTTTTTAGTCTCACTTTTGTAAGTTCACTATTGGTGTAAAGAAATGCCATGGATTTCTTGGCATTAATTTTGTATCCTGCTACATTGCCGAATTCATTTATTAAGTCTAATAATTTTTTGATGGAGTCTTTAGGGTTCTCTATGTACAGTATCATGTCATCTGCAAAGGACAGTTTCACTTCTTCTTTTCCAATTTGGATGCCTTTTATTTCTTCTTCTTGTCTGATCACAATGGCTAGTACTTCCAGTACTATGTTTAACAGGAGTGGTGAGAGGGGACATCCCTGTCTTGTTCCTGTTTTTAGGGGGAATGGTTTTAGTTTTTAGTTTTTGCCCATTGATTATGATGTTGGCTGTGGGTTTGTCATATGGCTTTTATTATGTTGAGGTATGATCCCTCTATTCCTATCTTGCTGAGAGTTTTTATCAAGAAAGGGTGTTGGATTTTGTCAAATGCTTTTTCCGCATCAATTGATATGACTGTGGTTTTTTTCTCTCAATTTGTTTATGTGATGTATTACGTTTTTTGATTTGTGGATATCGTACCATCCTTGCATCCCTGGGATAAATCCTACTTGGTCATGGTGTATGATCTTTCTGATGTACTGCTGGATCCGATTTGCTAGGATTTTGTTGAGGATTTTGGCATCTATGTTCATGAGGGATATTGGCCTGTAATTCTCTTTCATTGTGTTGTCTTTATCTGGTTTTGGTATTAGGGTGATGCTGGCTTCATAGAATGAGCTTGGAAGTGTTCCTTCCTCTTGAATTTTTTGGAATAGTCTGAGGAGGATAGGTTTTAGTTCTTCCTTGAATGTTGGGTAAAACTCCCCTGTGAAGCCGTCTGGCCCCGGGCTTTTGTTTGCTGGAAGCTTTTTGATTACTGCTTCAATTTCCTCCATAGTTATTGGCCTATTGAGATTTTTAGATTCTTCCTGATTAAGTTTTGGAAGGTTGTATTTTTCTAGGAATATGTCCATTTCTTCCAGGTTGTCTAGTTTGTTGGAGTAGAGTTGTCCATAGTATTTTCTAACAATCCTTTGTATTTCTGTGGGGTCTGTTGTTATTTCTCCTCTTTCATTTCTGATTTTGTTTATTTGGGTCCTCTCTCTTTGTTTTTTGGTGAGCCTGGCTAGAGGTTCATCAATCTTGTTTATCCTTTCAGAGAACCAGGTCTTGGTTTCATTGATCTTTTGTAATTTTTTGGGGTCTCTATGTCGTTTATCTCTGCTCTGATCTTTATTATTTCCTTCCTTGTGCTTACACTGGGCTTTTCTTGTTGCTCTCTTTCTAACTCTTTGAGTTGTAGGGTTAGGTAATTTATTCTCATTGTTTCTTGTTTCTTGCAGTAGACTTGTAGAGCTACGAACTTTCCTCTCAAGACTGCTTTCGCTGTGTCCCATAGGTTTTGGATTGTTGTGTTTTCATTGTCGTTTGTTGCCATGATGTTTTTTATTTCTTCTTTGATTTCTCTGGTAACCCAGTCATTGTTTAATAGCGTGCTATTTAGTCTCCATGTGTTTGATTTTTTTTGGATTGTTTTTATTGTAGTTGATTTCCAG